TAATACCGCTAAGATTAGGAAGTTCCGAAGCTTTATTAGAGTTAAAAACCTCTAAGAAGTCTTTATATTTATTATTCCGGAAGTAGATAAATATCTCTAAGGCCCCTTTCCGGAGAATATTAATTTACTATATTAAAAACTCCTATTTAGTATTACTAGAACCATATAATAAAATAGAGACCTAGTAACTATTATAAATATATAAAGCCTATTATCTAGGATAGTTATATTTATCTTTAGTTAAAAATAAGACTTGAGGTACTAGCTCAGGGTACTAGTTAAGCTCCTTACTAAATTCTTTTAGTATTAGGATCTTAATATTATTAGGCTATATAGGTATATATATCTATTATTTCTTAATATAGTCTATATATTATATAAGAATTACTTTATAAAATTCTATACTAAAAACGAGGCTATAAGAGCTAATATTCTTATACTTATAGAACCGGAGCTTAAAAGAATATATCTTACTATAATTATCTATAATAAATATCTCAAGATTATAAACTTAATAGATCTTAAATTAGTTCTTATAAAAGATTATAAATTCTTGGTTATATTTAGCTAAAATAATAAAGCTTTAGCTTTAAGCCTAATTATTATTAAGGAAGTTATAATCTAATCCGGTATTACTAAATCTACTATATACTTCTAAGATACTTATTTCTGGCTATATTAATCTTATTTAAATAGTTATATAAAATAATATATCTTTTTTATTATAGCTAAAATTATTAATATTCAAGATTTGGCCTTTTTTTCTCTCTATTTCTTAAAAGAATCTCCTTTAGAATACTTTTTTATAGCTATAATATTAATCTATTTCTATAAATACCTTAATTCTTTTATAGTTTTGGCCTTATTAGGGTTCTGCCGAGCCTATTTAGTATACTTGAAATACTTTATACTTCCTGAGAAGTATCTTTTCTATTTATAAGTCTAATAAATTATACCGGAAATAGAACTAGTACTTTATTAAGGCCTTAAAAAAGCTAAAGTATTACCTAAGGGTTTCTTATATAATCTTTAGAGCTTATTCTTCCTTTTTCAATAGCCTTATAAATCAGAATTTACTAAGTTAGGGTTTTTGGGAGTAAAGTTACTTTTATTAGACTTTCCTGTCTTTACTCTTCTTAATTTAGAATAAGTAATATACTCTGCTTTCTAAGCTTTCTTAAGCTATTCAGAAATAGATACTGCCTTATTTCCTAAGAAAATAGATATAAGTATCTAATAAGTCTTATAGTTAGATAAAGTAGTATTAAGAGTCCGGATCCGGTTTCTCTTAGGGTATAGGTCCTAGTTAATTTCAAGACTAATTATTCGAATATATAACTTAGTAACTATCTTGCCATTCTTCTAATAAAGATCTTGGAGTTCCTTAAAGGCGTCTTATTAACGGGTTTGAGATACTTGGAATATATTAGCCAAATAGGCCTTAAATTACTTCTAATAGACCTTATATAATAGTAGGCTTTACTTTATTATAGCCTCTCAAGTATTATAAGATTCGTTCCTAAAGGCACTTGTAATAGAGTTAACTTTAGAAGAGTATTTATTATAAGTTTAAGGTTAGATCCTAAAGACTATCTTCCAGGAAAATATAAATATTCTTTATTTCTTAAGAAACTTTCTATAATATAAGTTAGGTATCCGGACCTTAAGAAGCTTCTCTTAGTTCAAATATATTTTCAGGATATTATATAGTAGCTCCTAATAAATAGTATTAAGATTATTCTTAAAGCTTATTATATTAGGAAAGAGAATAGATTCTAATCCTATTTTAGGAAGTTCCCTAGTAGGAATTACTAAGAAAGATAAGATAGACTTATAAATAGAGTTTCTATAAAATATAGTAAATTATAAGATATCCCTAAAAATATTCTTATATTACTCTAATTATAGGATATATTAGTTAATTATATTTACTAATTCTTGCTTTTATTAGAGTACTTTGACTTTAGTATATAAGCCCTATTCTATAGCTTGGGTAGTAGTAACTCGGGTATTAATCTTGGTATCTTAATTATTACTGGGATTATTTACGTTATTATTACTGGCTCTCGAAGGCTCCTGAGGGGCCCTATTAAAAGTATTAGACGAGTCTTTACTATTACTCGTATTAGAGTTAATCTATTTGACTTCCTTTATAGAAATAGCTTTAGTAAGGGATTATATATTTTATAGATTTCGAGATATAATTACTTATTAAATTACCTTCTTTAAAAATAGAGAGATTAGCTTATAAGGTATTTATTAGTAGGTAATAAGATAATAGAATAAATTAGTATATTATAAAACCATAGTATTAAATTTAGTATAAAACTAATCTCTATTTCTCCTATAAGGTCCAGGGAAGCCCCCTCTAAATAGGAGGCCCCGATAGTATATATATAATTAGTAATTTATAAGCGTAATACATATAATATAAATAGTAATTAGTTGGGATATTAAAGGGCTACCGAACTCCCTAATTAATACCCGTAATATCCGAGATTCGTTACATGCCCTTAAGTCACGTGTGACCCTATATATATTACAATTCTTAAACTTTAAACTTAATATAAGTTCTTTAAATTATTAATTATATATTTTAATTATTTATATATATAAGAATTTAGATTTATAAACTTTTATTTATTATTTCTATAAAGCTTTCTTAATTCTTTTTTTTCTTTTATATTCTTTTTATATAAAATATTTCCTTAATTTATATTTTAATTAAATATATAATATTAATATAATTCTTTTAAATATTTAATTTAATTTAATAAAAATTATAATAAATCTAAATTTAAAATATTATTTAATATATAAACTTATTTTATATTATTATAAAATATATAAAAAATATCTTATATATTAAAATTTATAATTATTAAATCTTAATAATATAAGTCTAATAAAATTAAATTCTATAATATAAGTATTTTAATAAAAATAAAAATAAATAAGCTTAAAAATTATAAAATAATAAAAGTTTATTAAGCTTTATATAATATTTTTAATTCTAAATTCTTTTATTAATAAATATTATATAAAGAAATTTATTAATATTAAATAATATTTTTCTTTATTTTTCTTTAAATATAAAAATATATTTTTAAAAAATAAAAGCTATTATATTATATAATAAAATTATTTATAAGTTTTTAAAATAAATTATTATTAAAAGTTAATAATATTTTCTTAATATAAGTTTATTTTAAAAAAAGTCTTTAAATATTAAATATAATTTTTATATAATAATTTTAAAAAACTTTAATTAAAAAACTTTAATTAAAAAAGCTTTTTAAAAAAAATTATATTTAAAAATATATTAAAAATATAAATTCTTTTTAAAATTCTTTTTAAATTAAAATATTAAAAATATATTTCTTAATTTAAAAGCTATTTTAATAAATCATTTCAGTTATATATTTCTTATATTATATATTATTTAATTAATTTATAAAATTCTTTTTTATATTATATTATATTTTTAAATAATTAATTTTATAAATTCTTAAACTTTAAACTTTAAATAATTTCTTTAAATTATTTAAATTATTAATTATATAAATATTAAAGTCTTAAATTTATTAATTATATATTTTAATTATTTATATATATATAAGAACTTATATTTAATTAAAATTTATAAAAATTCTTTTTAATTATAAAAGAAATAATATTATTTTTATAAAGCTTTTTACTTTTCTTTATAAATTATTATAGTTTTATTTATATATATAAAGCTCTTTTCTTTTCTTATAGGCTTTCTTAAGCCTTATTTATATTTATAGAATTATTTTATAAATTATTATAGTTTTTACTTTTATTTATAAAGCTCTTTTTCTTTTATAAGCCCTTTTAAGTCTTACTTGCCTCTATAAGTAACTTATTACTTATATTCTTATTTATAGCTTTTTTTAGCCTTTATTTATATTTATAAAGCTTTTTTTTATTTTTTATAATTTATTATAGCTTTTTCTTTTATTTATTATTTTTTCTAAGCTATCTTATAAGCTTATAAAGCTTCTTCTTTCCTTATATAAACCCTTATAGCCTTACTCTTACTTATAAAGCTCTCTCTTATATCTATAAAACTTCCCTTAAGCTCACTAGGCATTAGGATTACGGTATGTGATATGTGGAAGTTTTGGTGTTCCTCACGTGACCTGTATTTTTGGAAGCCTTGAGAGCTAGCCAGAGCCTTAAGAATTCCCCTCACCTCACCCCTCCCGAGCTTTAAAAAATCGTAATAAAAGCCCCTCGCATTCCAGAACTACTAAAATACAGAGAAAGGTACTTGAGCTTCTCCTCTCTTATCCTAAGCTGAGCCCTAAGGATTTGAACGTAATCGCATTCCGATGCGCGATTCCCTAGAAAGAGAAGATTCTGGTGTTCCTCACGTGACCCGTTTTTTTTAAGGAGCCCCGAGAGCCAACCGCTTAAGGGTGGTCCAAACGTACGATAATATAAAGAAGTGATTTTCGGAAATCTTGGAAGGGTCCTGGCTCCGGACCCCCTCCAAGGTAACAAAGCTATACGAGAGAAAGTATTTATTCTTGGGAAATAGCCCCTTATAGCCCTCTCTCTAATGAAAGCAAGAAATAAAAAAGGTAAGAGGGGTATTTAGTCTTAGTTATTACATAACGCCAATCACGTGGCAATTACACGTGACTTTCTTACAGCTAGTGCTTTTAGTCTAGCAAATAGCCTTTAGCTCAATGCAAGCTCTTTACCACTACTACAACTCTCACCTTGTCGTGGCATTAGTGGGAGATCTACTAACCCCTTCCCCGCCCCCCTTAAGCCTTCGGCGGCCGGGAAAATATTTAAAGAGGTCACGTGTCAATGGATTTTTACACGTGAACAATTTGCCACACCAGCCCACCTCACGTCAATAAAAGCTTCGCTTCGGTGCTTTGACAAGTCAAAATCTCGCTTTTTTTTATTAATTGTCGATGAGGATTGAAGGCGCAGGATATTCGTTTGGGCTTAATTCCGAGCGCCTAACTCCTCCATTCTTGCTTGGCCCCTCGTAACGCCCTGCCCACTTCTCGGGAATTGAACAGCCCGACCCTATTTTGCTTGCTTTTTACCCCTCCATGATCATTTAGGTGCATGTTGCGTTTGTGCCCCAATGTATTTGTGTATCTGTGACGTAACTCTTTAATTTGCTCATGGCTGCCTGGCCCTCCAGGACCCAGGGCTTTGGAAGCCCGTCTCCGAACAAGAAGGTTCTGTAATGATGCCCGCTGCTTGTCCAGGCTTGGACAACCAAAAGTCAAAAGCAGGGTTCTGCAAACTTCGCTTCCTGATCGGCCGCCGGCATCCATCCCCCACAAGCCTGCGGAGAGATTTACAGTTGACGTTTAATTAAGGCTTGAACGGGAGATGTCATCCATCCCCACAAGCCCACGGAGAGATTTACAGGCGACGCTTAATTAAGGTTTGAACGAGAGATGTCATCCATCTACTATCTACTACTACCATGAGAACCAACTGGAAGTACAGCACCAAAGGCTTGCTTGCAGGTTGCCGCTTTGCCGGTCTTGCAGGCTGCAGCGTCCACGGCCCCGGCGGCCGAATAACGTGCAGCCAATGCAGCCGGTGCGGCCATTTGCAGTCGTTGTGAGATGGCGATGGCCACCACAAAACATTTTTGATTTGCAAGCAAGTCAAAAACAGCCAATCAGCTTGGCGTCTTCCACACCGCCTCTCTTTCTTCCTGAAAGGTGGTGAGTGGTAACCCAACGACTTCGAGGCTCTTGCAAGCTTCGTTCCCCTTTCGTCTCGCTTTCGCTTCCACTTCCCGTTTAACTAGAACTAAGGTTACAAGTGGTGGCGGACAAAAGGGCGGCACTGATCTTCAATGTCCCAAGTCGAACTGGAACAACTCCTTCACCTGTCCATGAACGAGAGTTTTCAAGACAATAAAAGGGATTAGTAGACTCCGAATGTGCCCTAGTAGGAGGAAACATCGGGAGAGGCGGTATAAACGTGTCCAACTTACCCTGGGCCATTGAAGAATTATTGATACCTAGTGCCGCTTTTATTCTCCGCATCACAACCCTCGGAGCTCGTCTGTTTGCCCGGGCCCGAGGAGCCCGACTTTCTGAATCGTTAGTATTCTGATTCCCTCTTGTACTTAACAATGTCCTTCTAGATTCCAATTCCCCATGGAATATCCTGCATCAAGCCCAAGAACATTATGACAAACCCAGCTCAGAAGAACGAGGAGGAACTCGCCAGAGCAGACCCAAATGCTGAAGCTGTCGACGATTTCCCCTCCCACGAGGAGTCCGTGGACGTTGATGGGTACAAGGAGGATTATGTTGAAATCGCCACCCACGGGCAAAGCTCCAGTCATACTGCATCCGAGGTAGAGCCCACTGGGAACGACAAGAGACCAGCAATCGATCGAACGAAAAGCTATGCAACGAATACCAGCGCTGTTACCAGAACCGATTCACATGTTGATGAACCCCCTCAGAAACTGCCGTGGCACAGGAAGTTCAATCCACTGAGGTGGGGTGGCATCCCTCCAGTCCCAGAGACGCGAAAGGTTTGTAGAGAGTACAATGCTCCGTTCCTAAGCCTGGTATACTTTCAATGGGTGTCACCATTGATGAGCGCAAGTCTTCCCCGCCCAAGTTTGTTTAGAGGCTAACATTCACAGGTCGGCTACAAACGACAGCTCGAGCACAACGATATCTGGACTGTGAATCCCGATCGTAAGGCGGATCTGATGACCTCGAAGCTCCAAGCTTCTTTCAAGAAAAGGGTTGCCAGAGGAGAAAAGTACCCTTTACTCTGGGCTTTGCACGAGACATTCAAGTTTGAATTCTGGATCGGCGGAACGTGCCAGTTCTTCTCGAACATTTTCCAGGTCGTGTCGCCATTTACACTTCGATATCTCATCCAATTCGCCCAGGATGCATACATTGCGCAACGATTGGGCCGGCCTGCCCCACATATTGGGAAAGGTATTGGTATCGTCTTCGCAATCACAGCCATGCAAATGTTGCAAAGTCTGGGAACGAACCAATTCATCTATCATGGAATGATGGTTGGAGGGCAATGCAGGGCCGTCCTGATTTCTGTAATCTTCGAGAAGGCGATGAAGATATCTGGGCGGGCCAAGGCGGGAGGCCGGGAAATAAAAGAAGGACCAGACGCGGAGAAAGAGCGGGGTGGGCACGCCAAGGATAAGAAGCAAGCGAAGAAAAATCCCAACAGCTCGGGAACCAAGGTGGCCCCTAATGCTGGGAAGGGGATTTCCGGCGATGGCACTGGTTGGGCCAATGGCCGAGTTGTGAACTTGATGTCCGTTGATACATATCGAGTGGATCAAGCATCGGGATTATTCCACATGATTTGGACCGCCCCGATTGCTTGTATCATTACGCTCGTCCTGCTGTTGGTCAATCTGTCGTATTCTGCTCTTGCAGGCTTCGCGCTTTTGGTCATTGGTCTGCCAGGTCTCACGAAAGCTGTCAAAATCCTATTCGCCAGGCGGAAAGTCATCAACAAGATCACCGATCAAAGAGTCAGTCTCACCCAAGAAATCTTGCAGGCTGTCCGATTTGTCAAATTCTTCGGCTGGGAGAGTGCCTTCCTTGCCAGGCTGGGTGAGATTCGAAATCGAGAGGTCCGTTCTATCCAGATATTACTTGCGATTAGAAACGCCATCAACGCAGTCTCGATGTCGTTGCCCATTTTTGCTTCGATGCTTGCATTCATCACATATTCGCTCACCAGTCACTCTCTCAATCCTGCACACGTCTTTTCGTCTCTTGCGCTGTTCAACTCTCTTCGAATGCCTCTGAATCTGCTGCCACTCGTCATTGGACAGGTCGTTGATGCTTGGTCATCGATATACCGAATCCAGGAGTATCTTATGAGTGAGGAGCAAGACGACGAAGGAAAACTCGATTTAGATGCTAAAAATGCCGTGGAGATGGACAATGCAGATTTCACCTGGGAGCGGACTGCAACACAAGATCCAGATCACGCGGCTTTAATCGGCAAGAAACAGACGAAAGCCGATATTAAAATGGAGAAGGATGCACGGAAACAAGCCGAGGCGGATGAAAAGCTACCCCTGAAGACAAAACCGTCTCCTGGAAAGGACTTGTCAGGTAGTAACACACCAGATGGTTCAAGTACGTTAATCGGAGACCGAGAGCCTTTCAAACTCCATAACATGGACTTTTCCATTAGGCGGAATGAATTGGTTGCCGTTATTGGCGGCGTGGGCAGCGGCAAAAGCTCTCTCCTAGCGGCTCTTGCTGGTGACATGCGAAGAACAAGGGGTGAGATGACTTTGGGAGCTAGCAGAGCGTTCTGCCCGCAATATGCATGGATCCAAAATGCTACTGTCAGAGATAACATACTCTTTGGCAAAGACATGGACCCGGACTGGTAAGATTTCACCCCCCCCCCCCCCCCCCCCCCTTCTACATAGCAAAGTAAAAGTAGCCTGATCATCTCTAGGTACAAGAAGGTTATTGAATCTTGCGCCTTACAGCCAGATTTGGATATGCTACCCCAAGGTGATGCAACGGAGATTGGGGAGCGTGGAATTACGGTGTCTGGAGGTCAAAAGCAACGTCTCAACATTGCCCGAGCAATCTATTTTGATGCCGATCTGATTCTCATGGACGATCCCCTATCCGCCGTCGATGCACATGTCGGTCGCCACATCTTCGATCATGCGATTATGGGACTTTTGAGAAATAAATCAAGAATCTTAGCGACACACCAACTTTGGGTTCTCAACCGTTGTGATAGGATCATTTGGCTCGAGGAAGGCAAAATCCAGGCCATCGATACGTTCGATAATCTCATGAAAGACCACGCTGGGTTCCAACAGCTGATGGAAACCACCGCCGTCGAAGAAAAGCACGATAAAGAAGGCCATGTGAATGATGACGAAGTTGAGTCCGAGAAGAAGACAATGAAGAAGAAGCGGAAGGGAGCCACACTGATGCAGGCTGAAGAGAGAGCGGTTAAGAGTGTTCCTTGGTCTGTATATCTCGATTATATTCGAGCATCAGGGAGTCTCCTCAATGCTCCGATCGTTCTTGGGTTTCTCTTGCTCTCACAAGCCGCCAATATAGGGACAAGTCTGTGGCTTTCGTATTGGACAAGCGACAGTGAGTCTACCCCCAGATGGGCCTACTTGATACTAACAGGTATCACCCAGAATTTGGCTATTCCAAAGGCGTCTATATCGGAGTCTATGGAGCTTTAGGTGCTGCTCAGGCACTTCTACTTTTCCTTTTTGCCCTCGCACTCACCATTATGGGCACAACTGCAAGTAAGAGGATGCTGAACACTGCAATTACTCGTGCTCTCAGGGCCCCAATGTCCTTCTTCGACACAACTCCTCTGGGTCGCATCACAAATCGATTCTCGCGTGACGTGGATGTCATGGACAACAATCTGACAGATGCTATAAGGATGTACCTCATGACCTTGGCTATGATCATGTCGGTCTTCGGGCTAATCATTGCATACTTCCACTACTTTGCAATCGCCCTTGGGCCGTTATTCCTTTTGTTCCTCTTCTCAGCTGGGTATTATCGAGCTTCAGCCCGCGAGATGAAACGATTTGAGTCCGTTCTTCGATCAAACGTTTTCGCCAAATTTAGTGAAGGCATCTCCGGCACTGCATGTATCCGCGCATATGGTCTCAAAGATAGGTTTATCCACGATATTCGCGAGGCCATTGATGAGATGAATAGCGCATACTACCTCACATTCGCAAATCAGCGTTGGTTATCTACCAGATTGGATGTTATTGGTAACCTCCTTGTGTTTACCACTGGACTTCTGGTTGTCACTTCTCGATTCAATGTGTCCCCTTCGATCTCTGGTCTAGTCTTGAGCTACATTCTTGCAATTGTCCAGATGATTCAGTTCACGGTTAGGCAACTGGCAGAAGTAGAGAATGGTATGAACGCAACAGAGCGCCTGCACTACTATGGAACTGCTCTCGAGGAAGAGGCACCCCTCCACACTGTCGAGGTGCGAAAATCCTGGCCGGAATCTGGAGAGATCATTTTCGACAATGTTCAAATGCGCTACCGCGAAGGCCTTCCTCTTGTACTGTCTGGTTTGTCTATGCATGTCAAAGGCGGAGAGCGAATCGGAGTGGTGGGCCGTACGGGTGCCGGCAAGTCCAGCATCATGTCAACACTCTTCCGACTTGTGGAGCTTTCAGGAGGCTCGATCACCATCGATGGTCTGGACATCAGCAAAATTGGCCTGCAAGATCTTCGTTCTCGTCTAGCAATCATCCCACAAGATCCTACGCTTTTCAAAGGCACGATCCGCAGCAACCTTGACCCCTTCAATGAGCATACGGATCTAGAACTCTGGTCCGCCCTTCGCCAGTCCGATCTGATAACAGAGGAAGCAAGCTTGGACGATAAATCGCCGGGCCGTATCCATCTCGATGGTATTGTCGAGGACGAAGGCCTCAATTTCTCGTTGGGACAAAGACAGCTTATGGCGTTGGCTCGTGCTCTCGTACGAGGTTCCCAAATTATCGTTTGTGACGAAGCTACTTCCTCGGTCGATATGGAGACTGACGACAAGATTCAACGGACAATCGCCACTGGTTTCAGGGGTAAGACACTGTTATGTATTGCACATAGATTGAAGACGATCATCAACTATGATCGCATTTGTGTTATGGATCAGGGCACGATTGCAGAGTTAGACACGCCATATGCTCTGTATCAGAACGGTGGGATTTTCAAGAGTATGTGTGATCGTGGAGGTATCAGAAAAGAAGATTTCGTTGGGTTTTATAAAGAAGAGCAATAAGGGCTGGTTTATCTCATTCTTCAAGATATCATCGCAAGGCGTTGAAGGGGTTTTTAAGAAATATAGATTCTTGCTTTTGCTCAGGCTCGGTGATGATAGTCGAGCCACTACCATACGATCGCTTAATACTGAGAATATTTACTTAAATTTATTCCTTGCCTGTTTGAGCAAGAAGAAACATCGATGCCTATTTTCTTCAGCACGATTTAGTTCATGAGGTCGGCCATGAAGTGCTAAGAGCAACTATGAGATAATTGGCGCAGAGGATACAAAAATCCGCCTGGAGCTTGTATGGTTCATTGGCAGAGGCATAGGAGGTGGTGAAGCAGAGAAGATTGGGTCTCGGAGTTTGACAGAAAGGTGGGAGTTCAGAGGGCCTTCTCGCGAGACAACATGGTATTGCGTTAGATATCTGCCACTAAAAGGGGATCGGTTGGTCAGGTCTACGCCTCCTCAACGCCGATCCACGCATCACACTGCAGAAAAATCCAACTTCCTGGCCACCTTTGCACCCCTCTCATCATCCAGAACCCCTGGCCTTCTTTTCAAGTCTTCCCCGATTTTTGCATCCCCGCCTCTCTTTCTAGGCAAGTCTTGTTTCTTCGTCGGTTTGGGATCCGCTGCCCACCACTTATGTTCCAGCGCCTCTCTCGCCGTGATTCTTTTCCACGGGTCCAAGATCAACATTTTCATCAATAGATCCACGCCTTCCTGTCCTGCTGTGCCAAATGTGCCTAAATAATAGTTTCTGTCCCTGACCGGAACTGGTGGGTCGGGTACCGTATACTCGGGAAGTTTTGATACGCCGGGCCAATTCTCTTCAGTCGGGGTACCAACTGCTTGGCATATCAAATTGACTTGCCCAACCTCTGTATCCCCGGCAATATATGGTGTTCTGATAACCAACTCTGCGAAAACCAAACCGACAGACCAGATGTCCACTGTACTGGAATAATGCTTTGCTCCGAATAGCAACTCTGGGGGTCGATACCAGCGTGTAATCACATTCGATGTCATGATTCGATAAGGGTCCGAAAATGATCTTGCTAGACCAAAATCTGCGAGCTTGATCTCCCCATCTGCTGCTATTAACAAGTTGTTGGGCTTAATATCTCGATGTAGGACGAAGTTCTCATGGCAGAACCAGATGGCGCGAGTGAGCATCCCCATCCAGGCTTTGATATCAGCCGCTCCGTACCGTACGCCCTCCACGTCCTTGATCAACATCTCCAGATCACCCAAAGGGAGGAATTCAAGCACAAGGTTGAGATTTTGGTCTTTGGATGAGAAGACTGAGAGGAGAGAGATTATGTTCGGATGTGAAATTTCTTGTAGATGTTTCAGTTCGCGGATAGCATCGGGGGCCATTCCTTCTGTATATTCTTTTTGAATCTTGATCTTTTTGATTGCGACGAGCTTGGATGGGTCGGAGCGGAGATGGCCAAGGTAGACGTTTGCATAGGTACCTTCTCCGAGCTTTTTGCCTGGGGCAGGTTAGCTGGCTCGATTCGGAATGCGGAGAGATTCAACCTTTGACATATTTGTGCTTCTCCTCCTCGTTCATCTGTTCTGCCAAATCATCACCCGCGCTATTAGTTGTGCTCGCCGCTTCCGGGGTTGCGCCATTGGACACAGCAGCAGTGTTTGAGAGCTTTGTACGGCTCGCAGCGCTCTTTTCGGTAGAGCCTGGGATAACGACAGGTGAGTTGGCCATCTTGTGGTTGACCGGAGGTGTCGGGGACAGTGGTGAGTGCTATGACATCCCTGCCAGAGTGTATTGGTGTGTGTAAAGTGACTTGTTCTGGATCGCCAGAGGTCGAGTCGATGGATGAATTTATTGACGCGGCTGGCTGGCGCGAGGCTGAGACAGGGGTAATGTGGCACAGCAATAAATGTGGCTTGTGGCTTCACCGGAAAACGTCTGTGATGTCATCATGAGCTCAAATCTAGTTCCCAGATTCCTACAGTAGTGAAATCCTTACCCTGGAATCATGGGGATCTGCACATCTGCGGGAACCCACAGTTCACGGCGCATTGAACCCAATGGAGCTGGACCACTAACCACGTCTCAATTGGCCCATCAGGCATGATGTCAAAGTCTCCGCTGCCGCAGCGTATGTTGTGATGTTCGCAAACAATTCGGCCACAAGCAGGTGATGTGCCTGCCAAGGTAGTCGTGCAAAGGTGTGGCAGTGGTATTGATATATGCCAGCCTCCCAGCACCCCAGGCTCTGTCGTTACTTGTGTTATTACTCTTTCATACAATTCATTAATCCCTCAGTCTCTCTTCCGAGTTCTCTCTTCAAGCCTCTTGAACCACTAGACCTCGAACCACCACACCACCATCAATCATGTGGGGAGTGTCGTACTGGGTGGGTCTCCGGATCTCCTCTCCCTCGACCGGTCCTCCTGGTGTCAGACACCAATGTACAGGACTAGTACTAACAATCGTCCAGGTCTTTCCCGTGATCTCTGGTCTCTGTTGGCTCGGAATGCTCCTCGGCCTACTGATCAGCTGGAACGTCGATGGCCGCCCGCACTACCCTTCGATGGAAAACGACCAAGCTATAGCATACATTTCGGATGTGGGTGCCGACAAGCTCAAACCTCTCTTCATTGCCGGCTCCTGCGTTACCACCATTTTCCTCGACCTCTCTTTCCTCTCAGAGCGATGGCTACGGCACCGGGGCCGTTTGGCAGCAAATGTATCAACGATTGAGAAGGTTCTGAGTGGGCTGAGCATGGCCTTTGCTCTTCTCGGGACCACAGGGTTGATTCTACTAAGCATTTTCGATACAAGGAGCCACCATACCTTGCACGACATTTTTCTGTTGCTCTTTATCGTTGGATACGTCGTTTCCGCAATATTCATTTGCTGGGAGTACCAACGGCTCGGTGCCAGTACGTCTCTCTTCCTAACTCTATCTAAAGCCGTTGAACTGATGGCTTTAGAATACCGCGAGCACCGTATCCTTCGGGCCTCCTTCTGGATCAAGCTCGCCTTCATCCTCATCGAAATAGTCCTCGCCGTCGCATTCGCGGCCTGCAGCTTCCGCAAAGCATGGAATGCAGCCGGTGTCTTGGAATGGGCAATCGCATTCATCTTCACCTTCTATGTCTTTTCATTCTTCATCGATTTGCTCCCGGCCACGCAAACCAAGAGGGGTAGAAAGTTTCCCACCGGGCCACAAGCGACTCAGATGCAGATGGAGGAGAATGATCAATATGGGCAAGGGCCCGCAGGGAGAAATACCGTGGATAGCCAAAGGACATTGGGAGCAAATAATGTTAGAACAACCAATGGGGTGAAGCATGAGAATGGTCAAGCGCCAGTGGCAAGTAATTTCTAAAAGGCAGGCGACTCTGGGATAGATGTGGCATGATGGAAAGAAGACACTGTGTATATATGGGTGGGCGTTTTCCAGCACTCCGTTGCGTTGCGTTGAGTTCCTCGTTGGATATATAGGCGTTGGCCTCACGGAATAGAGAAACCCCTTTTCGAATCACAGACGCATGGATATTTGTCCAATGACCAGTGAGATCTTGCATTCGATTCATTTTACAGCATATACACATCATCTATCTACTAGAAACAAGTCCCACCCATATATACAGCATATTATCCTCCTTCCCCCGTTTCCACCAATTTCAAAATCAACAATCCAAGATTTCACGAACAGGTCGTTGTGCAATGAACGCATAGCAAAGGGGGAATTGTGATTCGAGAACGCATCACGTTCGTTTATCAACAACCCAAAAACTCAACCTCTATTTCCAGCATTTCGCCCGCCAACTTAGATCTCCTCGTGAAATCTTGCGGAGCGCGCAGGACTAATGCTCTTCTCTGCAACAAAGGTAGGAGGAGGTGCAAGGTCCTCATCAAAATTGTCTCTCGCCTCCTGGAATTCCTCCTCATCGATATCTCCAACGGGCTCGCTTAACGCACTGACTTCGCTATCTCTCCTTTTTCCTCTGCCCCTTTCTTCTGGTTCTGGCTCCGCCTCTTGCTCCTTAGCTTTCCCAGCCATAGCCACATCTCGAACCGAAGAGGGCTTTGCTCCGAGGCTCGTGGTACTGTTATTTGCGCTTGCTCCAGTGAGTGCAGCACCGCCAACAAAAGCTTTCTCAGGTTCTTTCTCCTTTTCAGTGGCGGAAGGCTTCTGAGGTTTGCTCATCCGGCGGGAGAATTTGGTTTTCAGCCAGTTCTTGACTTTGCTGCCATCGCCTGGCGAGCTAGGAGACAGAGGCGTACTCTCATCTTTGTTCGCGGCGTCAGCGGTCTCCCGCATACGCATACTTACTTGGTCCTCCATCGATGTTGGGATGGGAATTAGTGTTGAGGCGACTGCACGGCGCTCCGCGATTGTCGCATGTGCTTCATCTGCTATGGTGGCCGGAGCAACAGTAGTAGCTTCTGCCGTCGTCTCTGGTTCCGTAGCTGGTCCTGCGGTTACAGCCTCTCCAGATTTCAGAGACTTTCTCTTCTCTTTCGCAGCTAGGTTTTCTTCTCTCTTTGCAGCCTTTGCCTCTGCCGCGGCTGACTTCTGCTCGTCTTTGCTTTGCTCTATATCCAAGTCAGCACAGGGCTATCACACTTCCTGGTATTACTTACGCTTCAACTTCCTATCAATCTCTTTCTTCTCTCTCCCACGTGCTTTCTGCTCGGCTTCTTTTCTCGCCTGTGTTTCTTGCTCCAACTTCGCCGCTGCTACTCGTTCCCTCTCAGCTTCAGCCTTCTCATTGATCTCATCCAAAACTGGCTGCACATTTCTCTGGGCCACTAAATCTACCGCACTCTGATTCATGAACTTTCCTCCACCAATGTTGACCTTGCCATAATTTTCCATCCGGGTATCGCTCTTGGCTTGGGCAGCAGCGTGTGCTTTGACTTCCCACTCGCTAAGAAGGGAAGGGGCCACTTTGCCGGTATCCGCAAACACCTTCTCGTCCATCCCATGCAGACTCTTGGTGACGTTGCGTTGAGCAGCTGCAATCAACGCCTCTCGGTCTTGTTGCCTCTTCTTCGAATCCACTTGCGATATATTACTGGAGAACAGAGACATCTGGGCTCGGATCTTGTTGGACTGCTCCCTGTCCTCATCCATACTACCATCACTAGATGCACGTCGTCGAGTCCGGCCGCGAATTGATAGTCTGGATTGCGGCTTTGGAGTGTTTCCATAATAATCACGGTACTCCCGATTCTTTGCATGCTCATCATGGAGTCTGGCCAGACGCTCCTGGGCAAGCTTTTGGGCAGCTTCTTGCAGATTGTTGAATCGCATAGGCTGTATCTCATCTGCTGATTCGACGGACGAGGGCCTCCGATGGTGGGCTGCCATTGCGCCACGGTGAGCAGCGGAAGTAGCATCGATTTGCTTTTGCTGATGGTTGTACATTTGCTTAGCCATGGCGATGGCTGAAGCATGAAGAGTAGCTTGTCTATTCTGCTCATCGACCTCAGGAGCTACAGGAGGATTCGAAGTATACATCTCCCTCGACATTACCGTAAATGGAACTGCTCCACCCTCTGATGTAACACTCGTTCGTTTTCTATTCTTCGATGCAGAAGTCGCAGCGCTCAGGGCATTCGTTGTCGCATTTGACTCATCTGGGTATCTCTCGACAAATGAGGAAGGGATTGGCGTCGATTCTGCTCTCTTCCTGCTTGTTGACATGGCTCCCGTCGCAGCCAGGAGTGAGCCCTGACGACCGAGAGCTGTATGTCCATAATCCAACTGCGGGGACAATCCACCAGCTCGATCCTTCTGGAATGCCTGGTTCGCAGCAGAATTTCCCCAGAGCGAAGCCTCTGGCTTCCAAATCTCCACTTTTCCGCCATCCCTATGAGCCAAAAGCGCAGCCTTTGCACCATTGGTGCTCTGTTCCGGTTGCCAGAGAGGAGCCATCTTGTAATCCTTCGCAAGAACTGCAGCGGCAGAGGCGGAAGCTGAGGGATCTGGTTTCCAATGTTCGAAGGCCTTCTGGTTTGCCCACCCAAGACTGGCGGCAGCACCAGCAGCTGAATCACCGTTCTTCAATCCGGCGGAAGGGAACGAGGGCAAATCTTGGGCTTGGGCGTATTTGAGGGAGGCTGCTGCACCTGCGCAGATTGTTAGCAGAAGAATGCAGGTATCCGCGCATTCCGGAGCAGAGCCCTCACCTGCAGAAGACAATTTATTGTCGCCGTCGAGGAACTCACGACCGGTCTTGGAGGCATTGTCGTATTTGGTGACATATAAAGCAGCAATGGCTGCCTGATCCTCGAGCTTGTTGGATGTTCTTGTCGGTTGGCTGACATCCAGGATGGGGCCCGTCGCCACAGCAGGCGCTGTGGTTTGAGCCATCACGAGCGAGTTATGTTGACACAATGACGTGGGTGAGGTGGCGTGAGTACAACGAAAATGGTGTGTTTCGAAAAAGGGAGGATATTTCGCTGCTCCGGAGCTGCAAACAGCTCAATCCATGTGTCAATCAGATGATGGTTGAGTGTTGATGGAGTGCTTCTCAAGCAATCAAGTAGTCAAGCAGTCCTCACAACTGGTACTTGCAAGGGAGGTAGGGACAGGAGAGGAGTGGAGAAGAGGCGAGATGCTCAGCAACAAGAGTGATGCACCATTGCGTCCTGTGTCTCGTCGCATCATACTTCTTTGGCCTAGTTGTCTAGTTCAGGTGTAGCTCTCTGCAGCAGGTCATTGCCGTTTCCCATACTGCTTCCGGGGCTTGGCCGTGGAGGTTGATGGTGATGGTGACATCATCAATAGCAATAACCACAGCCACAGCCACACCACGCTACTGCACGCCGCTAAGGCTTAATAAGGCTTCGGTATCAGAATTGCCGATGCCATCGCACAGTGTTGGCTTTGTGGGAGAGCGTCGTGAATCGCGAGCCAGCAGGGATGCTGTTTTATTTTGCACGCTTTAAAGATACAAGAGCAGGTAGACCTCAAAGTTGAAGCCAGAGGCAGGCACGGAATTGTGTTTTCAGCATGTTCTCTATCCCCAGGTTTCTGTTCATGGGCTCATTTTGTGATCTGCGGCAAGGATCAGCTATGATGATTTCGCTTCATCTTTTCCCGCTTTGACACATTCCCGGTCTTGGACAATCTAATTCGCACTTCATCAGAACTGCCTGCCCCCCCTGCATCTTCTTCAACAGTTCGGAGAATTGATTATTAGGGAACCCTGCATGGGCGTTATGATCTAAGAATCTTGTTTTGACCGACTCCTATATTTCTTGCTCACTACAGGCTGTCTCATTTCTTATCTCATTATGGCAATATCAAAGACAGAGACGGGGAAGGATGTCGAACGCGGAGAGATTATAGACACGCCGTTTGAGGGTATCTTAAATTTTCGAGATGCTGGGAAGAACATTAACGAGTTTCTTGGGCAGAAGTGTGCCCGCCCATGACCCTCTACACATTTCAGGGGCAAATGCTGACCAGGTGTCCAAGGCTGGTTACTGAAGGGAGGGTATTCAGATCCGCTCAACCAGGTGAGTCTTATTCTAGACTGTTCAACGTGTCTTGCACTGACATTTTCAGACGATGCGACCTTATCAGACAGAACGCGCCTGAAGGACGAATATGGTATCAAGACCATCATAGATCTCCGAACAGTGTATGTTCCCCAACCCCCTATTTTCTACTTTCTAACAATCCCAGAACCGAGCACGCAAACCGAGTGAAAAAGAGGCAAGGAGATCTCGAGATCCCTGTTCTCATGCAGTCAAATGCAGCTCTCGCAGAACCCTCCGAAATTCCCGGGGTGGCCTATTTAAACATCAACATCAACGGCAAGGGCTTCGAGCGAAGTCTCCTCTGGCAGCTTTCAACATGGAGCATCATGTAGCACACCGCTTTCCCCCTTTATCTCCTACTAACCTCATACCAGCAAACTTGTAACGCTCATGATCTTCGGCTACCGCATGGAAGCAATCTCCATCCTCGGGCGTGAAGTAATGCAGCCCCGAGGGCTTGTCGGGCTGGGGTTCGACTCTATCGATCACTGTGGACCCGAGATTGCTGATGCTCTGCGTGCCTATTCTACCACTTCCAACTATCCAATTTTGATCCACTGCACGCAAGGTAAAGACCGCACTGGCCTCATCATCGCTCTCATCCTCTTGTTGCTCTCGGTCCCGGTACCGGCAATAAGCTATGATTATTGTATGAGTGAGGGGGAATTAGAGCCAGAGAGGGAAAGCAGACTGGTGGAGATCCAGAGCATTGGCCTCACGGAGGATTTCGCGGGATGTCCCGCCGATTGGATTGAGAAGATGGAAAGGCATCTGAACGAGAAGTACGGAGGAGTGAGGAAGTATTGTCGTTCCATTGGCTATTCGGAGGAAGACGAAGAGAGTTTACTTGCTATCCTCCGTGCGTAGGGGGGACATTTTAGAGGTTGTTTGGGGCTGCGAGTCAATTTGCATTTAGAAGTCACCTGTAGAGAGATTTAGGGGTCATCATGAACGATTGAGATCTATGTACCAGTCACATTGCCACGCATCCAATTCCATACATCGCCCTCTCCACGTCCCTTTTCACCGAGTACCAATCCGCTCTCCGCTCTGCAAACTCGTAAACCTCCTCTGCTCTGAAGATTCCGTGGAAACGGTCGCCATCAGCTATCACCTCTGCCATCTCCTTCGCGTGCTTCGGATCTATGAGATATATTTGGCTAAGCTCTCGCAATGCCTTGAAGTACTCAAGAAGATCCGAATTCTTCAGCGTCCTGATGTAGAGAAAGTACAGGTTCATATCTGAAATGAGTTTGATGGCACCATCGACGCTCACTCGCTGGCGTTTGAGATGCTTGCATAAAGCAGTGAACAGGCGCAATCCAACCTCTTGGTTGAATACGTCAAGCATGTTCTTGTCGGTACTTCCAGTCAACATTTTGGTGTGTGACTCAACAAGATTAACAACCTGCTCCGCCGCTTTGGTCGGGCCAATGTCAAAATCTTGCGTTTTCCCATCTGTAGCTGGAGCCGGATTATAGTCGGTGGGCTGCTGGATGGTTGCGCAAAGATACTCAACTTCGTCCATCAATACATCTATACCCTTATTCAGTCCAGCTGCGACACGCTCGTCAAGCATCTGCTCAAATTTCTTCTTCGCCTTAACGGCGGGATCAAGAAAGTCATTACGATCAGATAACTTGGGGCCAGCCATTTGCTGCTCGTAGAAGACATCTATCATTTGAGAGATGAGATCACCAACATTGACCAACTCCAGGAAAGTCACCAGAGGTGCAACACCCTGTTGATGTTCACTGACTTCGCGAGGGTTGTATTTCGAGAGATGATCCACCGCCTTGTCAAAGCCACCCTTTACATGCCTGTCTCCGAGAATCCGGAGGAGGTTGACGAAAATAGCTTCACATTGCTCTCTTGCCTCTTCCCCTGTCTGACCGCCAAGACGAACGAACAGTGCTGCTCGTTCAATGCTTGCTTTCGCGGCGTGAGTCAGATCCAATGCAACCTCAATACTGAACAAGGATCGAATGCCCTCCATTCTCGAAGCCATGAGAGCCGCTTTTGCAGCCAACTCATCCGTCGGCGCCTCCCCCGGTAAAGGGGTTGACGTCCGATCACTGGCTGCACCCAAGCCCGGAGTTTGCGGTCTTGACGGACCAGGAGATAAACCTGAACCTGGAGCCTGGAGACTCGATCGGTTCACTACTTGCTGAGTTGGAACAGGTTTGGTTGCAAATGGCGACACAATCGGTAAGCTCGGTAGAACATTGACCGGCATCATAACCACTTTCTTGAACGAGGTCAAGAAGTCCTTTTTGTCGGCTTGGCGATTGAAATTCGCCATGAAAAAGGATTCGGTCGTAGCTTCCTGCGCAGAAAGCTTCTCCTCCCAGTTCCCCACCTCGGTCTCTGCGAGCTTTTTGAAATAATCCAGCTCATCTTGAAGAAACAAGTCGACATGAGGCTCAAATACCCTGGCTACCACAGCCATGACTTTATCAGCGAAATTCGCACAAGAGCTTTTGGAGGGCTTCAGAGTGACAGCAAATCGCAGAGTCTGTTCAAACATCCCCGCTACACCTTTCAGGTAGGACGGTATGCTCCGTTCGTGAGCCTCATCAAACAGAGGAGTCACATACTCCATGAGGATGTCTTCCCCAACTTTATCCAACAATATCTGGAAAACGTCTTGTCCAACAGGGAAAATTCGGTCTATGATGGCTCCTTGCTCGTTGACTTTTGCTGCAAGCCTTTCCAAGAACTCTCGAGATGGTTCAAGAGCTATACCATCAGCTGAAGCATGATTGATGCAATCCATGGGGTTTCCAAGAATATCTCGGTCCGAAAATATGGGGTGTTTCTGCACGAAAAGCTCGATTCCAGCTTGACCACCATTCAGGACTCCTAAGACATGAGCGTAACGACGCATCCTGCCATCAATATCCCAAGCTTCGTAACCTTGCTCAAATTCTCGCAAAACGGCATTTTCGAATATCCCCACCATAGTGGTAAGTTTCTCCTCTCGCTGTCTCCATCCTTGTGCCCAATCACTTCGCGCAAAGACCTGTAGATGTGACAGCATCTGCGCCTGTTGTTCGGGATCCCGATAGACTCTGAAAATTACCGGGTCCATATGGCTCCTTGATTTTGCCAGATCATAGTAGAATGGTGCCAGTGCAGCATATATCCTCCCGAACTCCTGCCTCGCTGACCCCCGTACAGACTTCACGACCGAGAAGACATTGAGTAACGCTTCAGGATCAAGCATCGGTGCTCGGGTGATTGGGGCAGGTGTCGATTGGGCAGGAGAAGAGAGAGCCAGGGTCTCAAAGCCATCCAAAGAGGGCTTCGCCTTCGCTGCCATCTCCATAGATCTCTTCTGTCGTTCCTCCTCTATGCCAGCATCGAATAATGTTGTGCTCGTCTTCCTCAGACCTGCATTCCCATTGACCCCTATTCCTGTCCGTTTGGCTTCCTCCTCCGCTCTTATTTTCATCATCTCCCTCTTCATTTTCAAGGCCTCTTCGAATCGCTTCCGTGCCTCCCCCTCATTCCAGACCCCCATGATCTTCAACCTTTGTACCCACCTCGAATCCTCGTATACCATTTCCAGCATTCGTTTTGAAGTACGCCCGAAACTCATAAGATCGGGTATAGGCAGAAAATCAAGGATCGTTGAAATGATCTCCGCAGGGAGGACAGGCTTGATATCGATCATCTGGGTTGCCTTCAGGGAGGCGAGGACATTGCTCCTCGGCGCCCCCGTCTGGACGGGAGCGCGCTTGAAGTTCGACATTGCTTCTCGTGTGACGTCGCCACTTAATTTCTTGGATGCGAGAGGGGCTTCGTGTCTCCATCAAAGGGAAGTTGAGTTGTGGTGAGCAGTCCTGCGTGTTGTGTGTGGAAGAGAAGTTGTCGGCTGTCGCTTCAGCTGACTGTGGGGGCTCGCTAATAAAGCCAGAGTCAGCGAGGCTCAGCATGCAAGGCTGAGAACTTCAGTAGACATCAAGAGGATCTGTGCCTAAGTGAAGAAGAGCTTCAATTTCATATGTCCCGATTGTTTTGTTTGGAAAATATCCGTACATTATGCATTGATGTTCCTGAAAGCCAAGCCCTCCAATCAGCGCTTCGTCTCTCCTTCTAGGTTTGGTAGTATTTGACCCCTTGAACCCGGGCGGCACGTGGAATGGCTTGGGCTTTGCGTAGGTATTCAGTGGGTATGGTGGCCTTGTAGTCAGAGCTTAGTGACGAACTGGTTTTGGCAGGGCTTCCAGTGGTTAAAGTTCTTTCAGATATGCGTGTTCGTTCGCTCATGTGTCTATTATCTATTCTGCAAATGTATTGCCCAGGAATTTACCTGCAAAGTCCATAGATATACCCAATAAGTTAGTGCAACCAGGACAACACCTGGACTCTTCAAGCAACAGCCAGTCTCTCCTGAGCTGCCTCAGCTGCAAGGTGCTGCCGAATCTCGGGATCGTTCTCCAGCGTACGGATCGCCGTATTTCGCTGTCCAACACCACCAAACAAACAATCCCACAGATCCTCTTTCTCAATCATTTCACCCCCTCTGCCGCCTTTGGCTAGCAAACCAGTCAACGAAGCTTGCTGCAATTCCATCGAATTGGCTTCTTCGAGGTTTGTGTCGAGGAGCTCATCAGGACTCAACTCTTTCTGTTTACCCTTTCCGGCTGACAATCTTTGACCGATATGCTCCATGCGTTTCTTGACAGAGAGCTGGTGAATGGATTCTTCCACTGTGCCGTCTACCAAATAAAGCCAGACATTCGTCTCTTGGTGTTGTCCGATTCGATCGACACGAGCGATGGCTTGGAGCTCAAGAGCTGTGTTCAAAAGGGGCTCACAGAGGAAGACATGGCTTGCGTTGACCAAGTTCAACCCTGAACTGTGCGCTCGAGCATGGAGTAAGAAACATTCGACGCCTGGGTCGTTCTTAAATCTCTCGATACCATTGGGCTTGTCGATTGACGAAAATCCGATTCTGAATCGCTGGAACGCACGAGCTAAGACGTCCAGAAAGTCCCTGAATTGAGAGTAGATGATGGATTTGGCTCCTGGGTCTGTCTCCCTCAACCACATGAGATGCCTGGCTAAGGTATCAACTTTTGTTGTGAAAGATGGCCCGTCCAGTTCAATATTCTTGATCTCTGCAAGTTTGCTCTTGCTGATTTCGGAATAGATGGCAGATCTCCTTGATGTCGAAGACGGTGACGACCTCTCATGAGCTTCGTGGACCTCCTCAGCTTCAATTGTGAGTTCCTGTGGCTTATAAGTAATGTCATGGAGATCGGCTTGGATCAACTTCCGCTTGCAGACAGGGCAGTTGCGGTGAGAACTCCACCAGAAATGGATGCACTCTTTACAATATTGGTGGCCACACACGGTAAGCGCTCCAATTTCAAATGTTTCTCTGCAGATTACGCACATTCGTTGTTCTTTTTGATTTGTCGCCTCCATTCTTAGATGATCTAAGTATCGTCGTTTTGATTTTGCGGTGGCAATCTTTCGAGAGAGTTTTGCTTCGTCCTCGAGCATTCTTGCAAGCACCCTTTCGTTGTTTGGGCCTTCATATGGTGCTACCGTGTCGGAGATAAATTGCAATTGCCGGTAGTATTCCAAGCGGGTATTCATCACGTTTGTAAAGAGCTCCACCTCCTTTTCTAATGCCGCTGTAACTTTAGTCTGCTCACTAAACTGCTTCTGCGTAGCATTGAGCTGTTTCTCGACAATTGAAAGCTCATTTTGCGCTCTCATGCTGCCGTTCTCAGCGTCAGGTCTCAACGACATTGCTAGGGCCCGGAGCTCAGCAACGATTCCGCGAACAGAGCCCATTTCTTTCGTAGGTTTCAATTGTGCTCGGGCGTTGAGTAATTCAAGCGTTTTCTCTGGGAAAGGTCCCTCGCCGTCTTTTGCCAGGCGGAGTGTTGTCTTGATCTCATGTGCAACGAGCTGGTTCTCTTGTCCGGTCAAGGCATCGTGGCGGTCCGCAATTGCCGCTCTCAATGCCTGAACATAGACCATTACTTCATCCTGTGTTTTGGTCGACTCCTCATATTCGTCTCCTGTGATCTCTATACCCTCTTCTTCGTCCACCAGAGAGCGCAGAAGAAATTGCACAGTTTGTTCTCTCCATTCGTCAAGTTTATTTGCCTGGGAATCAAGGGCGATGGCTAAGGTATCCAGCTGCTCCATAATTCGTCGACTCTCGAGACCACCTCTCGGCGGGTTAGAAAGGAATTCGGGAATTTGTGCAAAAGTCTGGGTAGCAGCTCGTTTCGCTATAGTTCTCATGAGCTTGTCCGCTTTTCGAAAGATCTTTAATTCTATCAGCATCGAGCATCTTGGGAGAACGCAAGCCAGCGCCCCAATCACTCACCTCTTGCAAAATTTCGCGCCTCAACTTCTTAGCCTCATCATAGCCCTCGGTCTCGAGCTTTTCTAGCGCTTCAAATTCAAGAGTATCGGGCTTTGTCATGTCCTCGTTTGACTTGATCTGGAAATAGGCGTTCGCACGAAAGAATATCGCCATGTGTTCAATCTCTAAAGCATTCCTCAGTCGCATTCGGAAAACGCTCAAACGCGAAGTTGGATCAATCCTGTTGCAAAGCTTCAGACGGTTCTCTAGATGTTCAGTGGCTTACTCACTCTTCTTGCTCATCTTCATCGCTATCCGTCCCAGAGACTTGCCAGCTTCGATTGGCCGAGGATGTCTTTCCATCAACTGGGAATTTTGCTTGCTCTTCGCTAAGCTGTGCTCGACATTCTTCCACAATGGCACGGGCCTCAGTAACGACTTCTGCCCAGATGTCATAAGCTTCCTGAACTCGTGGAGAGTTTTCAAACAATTGACCTCTTCGCAGCCTGGATGTGAGTAGAGCTCTTTGGTCGGCCCGGATAGAAACATCAGTTTGATCCATCATCACATCCAACACTTGATCTACAGTCCGCAGAGGACCATCCTTTTGCCCTAGTGCACGCCTGTTTCGGCCTCCAACCTCAGGATGAAGGACGGTCTGGCGAAGACGCACCAGCCAACGTCGCATGACATCGGACACCTCATCCGGATTCCAATTATCTAAAAGGGGTGCCCCTTGAGCATCCAACCCGACCTCTTCACACATCTGATTGAATAACTCTTGGTAGTGTTGTTCCTCTATCGAAGTAAAGGGCATTGTGATTACATATCTTCGTTGAGCAGGGAGTCTGAGCTCGTCACGGACACTCTGCTTGTTATGGCGAAGAGCTAACGATCCAAAGAGCTTGTGGAACTCATTCTTATGGGATGAGATCAGTGAGGACCAGATGTGCTTCATCGAGGCATATGGCTCATAACGAAGAAATACTAATAGGCCTCTGAGTGACGAGGAAGTCAGTAGTTGCAGGGTAAGGAGTCTAGAGGTAGGGTGAAAAAACCAGCCGGAATTGAAACATCAACATCCGACTATTTTGTACTTACAAGAGATCGTTCACGTCTTTCCTCACAGGCGTTCCAGTAACACACCATGCATTTTCGCGCGGAATCATCCTTGCCACAACGGCTGCCTTACTGACTCCACTCTCAACCATTTGCGCCTCGTCCAGGAGAATCCGCCACCAAGATAATTGCATGATGGGGCTTTTCGGTCGTGGATATTTGGACTCGTTGCGTAGCTTCTTGGTCGGGTTCAATTGCGTGAAATTGATCTCGGCAGCGAGTACAGAATATGTTGAGATAACGATATCTGATGTCGCCAGCTTATTCAAGAGGTCGGAGGGCTTGACCTTGCTTTTTGCCTTTATGCCCACATAATGCAAAACTCTAAGATGCGGAGCGTGTCTGTTGATCTCGGATATCCATTGCTGAAGAATAGATGGTGGAGTGATAATCAATGTGGCTGCAGTTTTTTGCACGTCTCTGCCGGTAAAATGGTCGAAAACATTGGTCGTGCCGTCATTGGGACGCTTGTGAAGTGTGATCAAAGAAATCATCTCGACCGTCTTCCCAAGACCCATCTCTTCTGCGAGAATACCGCCATTCAGTTGCTGCTCCGAGGCCAGAAAAGGACCAACATCAAGGGTAACAATTCCAAATAAATGGCTGGCATAACATGGCCGACCAAAGAAATCTTTCGCTTGGATGAATGAGTTGGGTAAGGCCTTGCCATTCGGAATGGAAGCATCTTTGACACCTCCTTTGGCAGACCACTCAACCCCCTCCTTTCGTAGAAGCCACCGAACAGCTCTCTTCTGGAACGGATATAATTCCGACTCCAACTCTTCAATTCTCATGGAGGCTGAGGATGCATCGTTCTTATCGGTTGAATGGACGCTTTGATAAAAGTCCCGAGGAGACCATTTCTCGGCTTTGGTAACATTTTGGTCAGGAAAGTATCGTGCCCTAGGTAATGAGTGAGTCAGTAATTTTAACAAATTCCAGCGGGCTAAAATAATGAAGATAGATTGAATGGGCAAAGACGCCTCCCCCAACTACTCACATGACTTTCAACAGTGCTAGAGTCTTAGTAGTAGCTTGCAGAACGTTATGTGGCGAGGTAGTCGTATTCCATTTTATTGTAAAGATCAACTCAATGCAATCGAGTCCATTTTTCTGGTACAAGGAAATCCCGAACTCAGTCCACAGTCTGCCCTGTAACCTAGCCCATTTTCTTGACTCCTGGTGGACGAGCAGCGCCAGGTGAACATCTTCCATGCCTTCCGTCAGAGGTATTTTCCCATGGAAGACCTGCTGTCTCGTCTCACCAACGATATAAAGAGAGGCGGGGGATCCCCAGGGCTGGGTCGAATAAACATATGGTCCAATATCACTCCTTTCCATGGGTATGTCAGAGTTGGATAACTTGGACCCAACACACCGAATCTCCCAGCGACACTGGTGAACTATTATATGTTCGAGTTCAGGGTCCTTGGTCGGCAGCGAGCTCGCAGTTTTAAATTTCTGTCGCTTACGAGGAGGTTCGGAGACATTGTTCTGCTGGGAAACGAATTCGATGAGCTGGTCGGGGAGCTCGCGAGGAGAGGATTCTGAGGAGCCACTTTCGGATGAGGTCAACGATACATGTTCATTGTTAGGAGTTGCAATACCCGGCGAGGGCAAAGATGAAGCTTGTGAATCGTGTCTGCCACCGACGGGTCCTGGAGGCCCTCGAGGAGTTTGCTTCATTCGAGGAGGCATGACGTCGAAAGTGCAGTTGTCTGCAGGAGATGGATGCTCTCAACAAACATTTACAAATCGCTTCAGGGGTTTGAAAACTCTTTGAGCATGCTCTAGCTTGAGGCTGGGTGAGCATACCACCAGTGGTACAGAGAATCGTGGAGTCGTGTGAAAGAAGGCAACGGAGTGTGGAGGTGAAACTCGAGCACAGCTGCCTCCGATAAGGTTCTTATCGACGAGCTTAACTTAAAATGCTCTAGCTTCGCATATTCATGACTCAAGAATCATGTGGCCTTAGGTAGCCAAAACCTTAAACGTTAAACTTTACTGCGAAAGACGACGCGAGATTTGTTTCCAAGACGGCGCCTTTCGACAACAACACCGTTCCTGGTAAAGGTAGATCAACGCACTCTCCCCATTGACGCTGCCTGCTAACCAAATATAAAGTGTTGACCACTATGATTGTCAAGGCTACGCAGTTGCGGTCCATACCGTCCTTCCTCCTCCCTTGCACACAGTCACGGATAACTCCACAAGCACGATATTTACAAACCCGAGTAAAGGCTACTCGAATTCCACGGCCGACTCCATTCGTCCCCGATACACAAACCTTTCTCACTGTCATTGGCCGCAATTTGAGCCAACACGCATCGAAAATACCCTCATGGAAAGCGCTGTTCTCCCTCACCTCCGCACAACTTAAAGAGCTTGGCATTGAGCCTCCACGAAGTCGACGTTACCTACTTCGATGGCGTGAGAAATTTCGAAATGGGCAATATGGAGTTGGGGGGGATCTCAAGTACGTGGAAAACGGGGAAGCACTGCTCCGCGTGGTGGAGGTCCCTGTTTCTGGGAATAGTCCAGCTACGGCCACGTTGACAGCAGGGAAGCGCAAGATTGTGGTGAATGTGGCTGCGGGGGGCAGTGCTTTGGAGAAGCCGGCGGAGCAACTTGAACCCGTCAAAGGCCTGCATATTAAGGGTGCGCAGACAATAGTTGGACCGCACGTACAGCCACTCAAGGGAGGGAAAGCTGCGAAGGTTGTGGTAAAGGAAGGGCTGTGGGAGGACCGAAGAGGCCACAAGATTGACGGAGGAGAGAGACGTCAAGCCGAGGTGCGAGCAAAGAGGAGAGGAGAAGAGAGACGTGCAGCGAGATAGGCTTAGATTTGGCTCGCGTGACGCTTTGTAGGGTATTTTGGGGCTATGGCGTTGTACATCCGTGCTACCAACGAGGAAAGGCTCCTCGTGAGGCAAATAACCGGGTTTCTCATCCCATCCAAGTATTCTGTGTTCCATAGGGCGTGCTTCTTCTGCTTCCAGAAGCTTTTCGAGGACAAGGCTGCATGCAGATCGTCCAGATCAGTGGTGCAAAAACACAGCCCGTCGTGCAAAGAGCGGATGGGGAATATGTGCGCAATAATTGGGGGGTGGGTGTGTTATTGGTCAATGAGTTCTCGCATCCGAAGGATTCGGTCAAAGAGAAATATTTTAGAGAAACGTGAAACGTGGGTCATTTTGCCAATTCAGATGCCGGTGATCGTCGGCCGGAAAGGGCGGCGGCGGCGGCGGCGGCGGCGAAGAGTCATAGAGTCATATTGTGGTCGTGTGGTAGTTGAGCTTTCCTCTGAGTCCTCTCCTCGGAGTCCTCTGTGAGTCCTCTTCGCAAAGGGTTCCGTCTACAGCCGAAATGGCTCAGTCTCTACTGCACCGTACTTCCGGCGCTGCTTCCAGAAACGCTGCAGAACTTCCAAGCTTCATGCTCCAAGCTCCAAGCTCCAAGCTCCACGTTCCTTGCCTGCCAATTCCCACGCGGGCCCGGGACATTCGATCGGGCCTTGCCCCCTTGAGTTTCCCCGGGTTGAACAGCCTCCAGCCTCCTCCGTCCGTCACTCGGTGTTCGTATCTCAGTGAATCATAGTCCTAATTGTGATTCGTGCTGATATAATAAAAACGGTCGAAACAAGGGCGAGACTCTGCCACAGGAAATTGGGATTGTTAAGAACGCCCAGGACTGGCTGGTCGGGGGATAGATACTCCTTCTTACTCATGCACAATGGCGTTCGCAGGTAAAAAAAAGTATTTCAGCCCCAATGGGCAGGGCGGCGTTCACTGGATCAGGCGCCAGTCTGCCCGCCGCGAACTCGCAATGGACGCGACAACAACCTCAGTCGGATGAGGCCAGCGACGGGGTGATGAGTAAGAAGGGTTAAGAGGGGGTGGAGGTACGAGGAGAGACAGGAGGGGGCGGGCCACAGAAGAAGGCTGCCAGCCTCGGTGTTCAACGCCGTGCAGCATCAGCACTTATGAGCAGACTCAGCAGAGGGAAGCACCGACGGCCGGTCTTCTTAGCTTCTCTGGCTTCTCTGGCTTCTCTGGCTTCTCTGGCTTCTCTGGCTTCCCTCTGGCTTCTACGGTAGCTTGGCGTGCGGGAGGGCCACCAGTTTGAGCAGTCGAGGGTTGGCATGCGTCATCCTAACAGATGACCCACGCGCCAATCTTAAATGCTGGACAGTGACTGTCGGAGTGCGACAGGAAAAGACTCATCGCTGCACGCCGGCGCTTTGGGTTGCGTGGGATGCGGTGGAGGGTAGATGGATGCCTATTTTCTGATGCTCATGGCGGCAACCCCATCCCTGGCCGCTATGCAGGTACCGACAGGAAATCTCTGTGTCTCTCTGCCTGACCGCTCTGCCTGACCCGCTATGCTCGGCTGCCTTTTTTTTGCAACGCAAACGTGATAATCCTCGGCCACGCTCTCACGCACTTCAAGGATCTTAGAGATCTCAGGGATCTCAGGAATTTCAGGATCCTGCCTCCTTAGCCCTCCTAAGTTGGAAAACAAGCTACCGAATCACCATCACCCCTGGCAAAGCCTCCAGAACCTAAAATGGCTCCCCCTCTCCATCCCATCCCTGCCCACCCCTTCACTCCTACTCACGCCTTTCCGACTCGCTTGTGCCCATCCGAACCCCCCCCCCCCCCTTCTCAAGGATTCTCGGGTCCGCGCCGTATTCTCGAAGGGTTTAAGCCACGGGTCACCTGTATTCCCCGAAGCCAATCATCATGCATTGCCGGTAGAGCGGATTGAGGCTGCCTTAAAACGTTGTGGGCTTGGGCTTGCCTGTATCAGTTTCCTTTCTCCGTAGATGCATCTGCCACACGTTCACGCTTCGCGGCTGTCGATACACCCTAAACTCCTTTGGAGGCGGTGCTCTATCTCCAATTGGATGTCTTCCACTCATGTTTCGTCCCACTCCAGTCTCCTCAGGCTTATATATCTGCCACTTCTCCTTTAGTCTCCATTCCTTCCAATCCACAAACATCTAAACCACTCTCTGAAGTGGACTATTTCCTCCTTTCATATAGACTGATACTTGTTGAATACTACTATCTGCTTCAATTAAAGTCACCCTGCATCCAATATCGTTTCACCACCACCTCAATACCCATTGAGTCGGCTCCTCCATTTTGCTCGGACTGTTAAGTTTCTGTCCTTTGAATGGTTCTACAACTCGATCAATGACCTCCACATTCTCTTTGCGATTGCATGAATCCAGAACCTAGCGAGTCTCGTCTTTGAAGTAGATGTCAGTACCTTTCCAATTAGTTGCGGAATAACTAAAGCTAAAGCCCAGTAGGGACTCTCAGACCCATGAGAACGAACCATCTGAAGTATCCAAACAACAAGAACAAGGCCAAGAACAAGGCCAAGAACAACAGCAGCAGCAGCAGCAGCAACAACAACAACAACAAGCAACCAGAGAAATCCCCCGCATCACAATTGACGATCCTGATCAGAATCAAACAGTCAAGTACGATTCCTCGTCTTCTGCTACTGAAACCGAGATGTCCTCCTCACACCGATCTTCACATCACTCTTCCAAGGGAAAACATCATTCTTCAAAGTCCAAAACCAAGAAGGACGATTGGTCAGATATCACCGATCCTGAGGAGAGAAGACGCGTTCAGAATCGAATTGCACAAAGAAAATTTCGTACGTCTACCATTCTAGTGCTGGTAATAAGTCACTCATAGTTTTGAGTAGGAGATAAGGCCAAAGAGGCCAAGGAACGTCAAGATAGAGAGGCCGAAAACAGAGCTCATGCTGGGCATTCCTACCATACACCCGATCCTGGTGAGATGGGAACAGACGAGGAGCTCTCAGGCCTGCCCTGGGGATCTTTATCACTGAGACATGTGGTTTCCAAGGGCAAGGCAAGAGAAGAGGAGTCCAGAAGAGGATCCAAAACCCACGAAGACAGGAGTCATTACGAACAAGAGCCAGTCTACGAGGAGAGAGATGTATATTATGAGCAAGATGCGTATTACGAAGACGATAGAGCATACTATGACTATGGGAGTGGAGGAAGTGGTAATGGAGGTAGATCTCGCTAGATGAATTTTCTAGTTGCTCTCTCATCTCAGTGTGAGGCAATTGCAGATCCATACACTTGAAAGATCGCTGACACAACGAAGTCTTCTACAGGTCCTTTGCTTACACGATTCCCACGAATTGACGGTCACACACGAATCTAATTGGATCTCCTACTCTGTTTTTTTCTTCTTCGCAGGATTCATGTCTCTAGGAATAGATTTTCTGCTTAAATGTGTTACACGAAGTACAGCGGATTGCGGGTCATTCAAGGTAGTTCTTAACGGGTATATGACTCCTGTTCTCTCCTCCTGCGGGTTTAGATCTTGGCGTATTGAAAGCGCTTCTCCTTCTTACAGCGTAAGCAATCGGGGTATCTCAACATAGAAGAACTCCGGTATGGCATCATGTTACTGTCTGATTCCTCTCAGCTGCTGACCGGGGTGGGTCGTGCACCAGAGTTCAGCCCTCTCATGTATTATTAAAGCTCTTTTCGCTCGTGCCGCGTAATGATAATAATAGCTAATTCCAAGAAACGATCAACCAAACACGTCGTTCGCGCGGTCACCTGGTGTCCTGGTCTCATGCACGGTTAAATGTCGGTGACAGGGCGTCCGAGGCCGGGACAGCTTTCCACTTGGTGCACCTTTCCCGGGTTGACCAGCAAGATCGGCAGATGCACCCCAAATCTCCATCGTTAGCCCTACCCGGTGGAGAAGTGGGCAATTTTATGGTTGTGTAACCTGCGTGACTGGATTGGACTTTTTCTCGGCAAGGTGGAGGAGGGATGAAGGATTCCAACCCTCGCAGCATATCACAGACCTTCGAGAGACCTTCCAAGAATTGGTGGCGGAAGACTGAAACTGGGGCTCAACCTCAGTGGCCGGAGAAATTCCGTCCTTGCCCAGAAAAGCAACCGCCTCGGAAAACGGAGGTGTTGATGCTGTCGAAAATAGCTCTTTGAAATGATCTGCGTTGCATACTAGGAGGATTATCGAATTTCTTTTGGGATCAGACACGGCTCGTATACGACCGAGGATCTTGAACCTTGAATAATAATTGCGGAAACATCAGTCCGGAGGGGAGGGGAGCTCTGGGAAGCCGAGTTTCACGGACGTACCTAGTCATGAGAGTTGTGAGTTGTGGGTTGTGATCCTCGATTGGGGGGATTAAGGGGGGGCTTGCTTGCTTGCCGCGCTCGGCTGGGAGGCTGAGCTTAAAATAAAGTTTGGGGCCCTTTGGCAAGCAAGCCTAAGCGAGCAACACCTCACGGACAATTGACGACACCATTCACTGTCGGGAGCATCACCAGAGGACTCACCTGGCCCTCATGCTGTCCAGACCCATCCCCACCCCGAAACCACTCAGAGCTGTCACCGCCGATCACATGACACCGCGAGTGTTGCCATAGCGACATTGGGCAACGCATTATGACGGAAGTTGCGTCCCCTGATTCCACGATCGCGAATTCAGACCACCCTTCATCTCCAGCGCGTGCAGATCCTAGAACTTCATTGCAGCACGTTCTCGACAACCCAAGAGATACACCGCCCGCCCCGCGACGGAACAACGACATGACGGAAGACGAGGATGTTCGGACGCCCGGAGAAGCTGTGCGCGAACCTCCTTCCAAACCAGCGACCAGCACATCCCGCAAGCGCAAGGAACCCCCGCCGGGCAGCGCGCAGAACAATTCAATGTACAGCGGCAACAAGGTAAAGCATCTTAAGAAGGACGACGGAGAGCCGCTCTGGCGGAAGGACATCCAATATGAGTTTCTCAAGGCCGTGTTTGAGGACGACAAGGCTGTCTTCACAAACAGCTATGAGCCGGATCAGATCGCCAAGCAGACCTTTGCTAATCTCTATATCGACACGATGGCCAGGAGTAGCAAGACGAGCAAGATCTTGAGAGACAAGCTGCTGACTGAGCACGAACCTGCGAAGAATATGGCGATGGTGTGCTTGCTCGTCAATCTCGGTCGCATGAACACGACGCTCAATTGTGCGTATTACTTGCCCCATCAGTACCTTTTTCTAACCTGCTACAGTCTTCCCGGAGATGCGAGCCCAGCTTCGAACATACCATGCCATCCCCTCCTTACAAGCTCATCAAGACCCCAATTCCTACAAGCAGCTCCAGGATGCGCCGCGACTCAAATCGATTCTCAAGGGAGCATCGGAGGACCGCCCGGAACCAAACACACTAGAAAAGATCAAGGTCAAGGATGTTCCTCGAACCAATCCTGTAAATCTGATATTCGTCCTGGCACAATTCGCCCCGAAAGTTACTGAGCTGCATTTCCCCCCCAACAAGGACTTCTACGACCTGATCATGAAGGAGGATATATCTAGTGTTTCTCGAGCAAGAGCCTTCTTATGGCTAATGTGGTTCTATCTGGAATCCGACTTTACCGAAGAGGGAGCAGACGAGAATCCATTTGGGCCGGGTGTTGACTACGACGTTGATGTCAGGAATCAGGGCGTGCCGAGATTCGAGTACTTGACTGCGGAGCAGGAAGCCCTGGAAAATGTGGACACGGCAGAAGAAAAGGAGTATGGATATGCCAAGATGAGAGAGAGAAAGAGAATCATCGAAGCAGATCAGGCAGCCTTTCAAGCAGAACATGGCCCACCAAAGAGAGGTCCTAAGCCAAAGCTTCACCTACCTCCAGATGATGGCGGTCCAAGCCCAGCTGCTATTTTGGGTCGAATTCGCCCAAAGTACGAAGATATTGTTGGTAGTCCCGCGGCATTGATTGGCCGTATTCGACCAAAGTACGAGTCAGATATTGATAGCACTCGTTCTACACCACCACCTCGATCTCTTGGTGGCATACGAATTGCGAGTGCTCTCAACACTGGTAAGGGTCGAGGATCTCTGAAGCACCAGATGGTTGAAGGCTCATCGCCTGTCGCTCATCAAGGAGAGACTATCATGAGACGTTCCCGACCACTTACTGCCCATCAATTAGCGGTGGAACGCAACCGAAATCAACGAGTCGATTATATCCTGAGTCGTGGATTGCGGAAGAAGCACCATCATGCCAGAAAGCAGCGCAAGCAAGAGGGTGCCTTTTGGCGTGCATTGCAAAGGACGAAGCAAATGGCAGATCCATTTGATGATAGCGAAGGAGACGGTGACCTGCTTCATGCGCCTCCGCCTTTCAAGGCTAGAGGGTTTGGAGGTCTTGTTCAATTAGAGTCGGAGGAAGATGATTTTGGCGAAGAGATGTCTGCTTATGCTGCTGCATTCCGTCGCATGGGTAGAAGACTAGATCGCTGGGATGGTCAGAAAGATCTGAATCTTGGCGTCATGGGCACAAATCGAGTCTCGCAGGTCAAGCCGGCTGCTGTAAACGGTCACGATACTGTCAGAGACGCTGATGAGACCGAGGATGAGAGACCCCCCGAGGAGGAAATTAAATCCAGAGCCAAGGGAGATACTCATCTGGCGGACGAAGAGGACCTTGACGATATGGAGAAAGAGATCTTGGGCCTTGGTAGCGAGGTCGAGGTTGAGGAAGACGGAGAAGAGGATTTGGATGATGTCGAGAAGCAATTGTTGGGCTTGGGTGGTGACGGTGATGAGACTGAGGAAGAAGTCAGTGAGGGGATGGATGTCGATTAGCAGATTCTCAAGTGACTAACATTGTTTGCGAGGTTTCGCTTGGAACACATTCATCATCATCGATAGATTTTGGCGTTGCTTGGCTGGAGATGGCACTGTACAAATAGGCGTTGACATTAGAGCAAAAGTACTGACGCATAAATTAGAATCTTGGCCTTTCACAAGTCAAGTTGACTTTGGTGGCGTGCATTCGAAAGTAAGGGGGGGTTGCTTTGGTCTTGGTGAAGTTCGGTTACAGTTCACACGGGCTTCATAGACCACCGTCTGTCTTTGCGACTCTATTCGACTTCCAGCTACCTTTTTCTCCAGCGCACTCTTGCCTTGCTGTTACATATCCGCAAAGGTGAAGTCAATGCTAAACTTCCAGTACAGCTACTAATCCAAGTCCACGCAATCAGCTCCATTCACCTCGCTCCGAGTTGGACTGGCAGCCCATCTCCATCTCGTCCCCTTCAAACCCACCCCATCTCCTTCAAGAGTCTTGCAATCTTTCTTCGGGATCATGAAATATCCACATATTTCACCAATGCTCTTATCTAGGATCTAGCTTGGGTTTTGGATGCAAGCTCGACCAAGGAACGCCACTCAAGCTCGATTGAGCTATCCTACCTACAGGCAAAGTCTCTCGGGATCTCTTGGATCAACAACCACTTCAAGTTCATCGTTATAACTCCGCCTCCTCAATCATGGACCATCGAGTCAGAGGATCTCCCATGAAGGACCAGTTCGTTGTAAGTATCCCAATTTCACCTTGAATTTATGAATATCATGGCTCAAATCACCTTAAGACCCCCCCAACACCAACGCCAGATACCCCCACCTGCCTCACCCCCTCCGCGCTCCGAGCTCTCCCTTACATCTCTCTACTAGTCGGCATTGATGCAATTACGCCTACCAAAGCAGTCTATGCCATCTACGACCCCAGCATCGCCAGCCTCCGCTTCGTTCACGGTGATGGAACATTCGTCAACGCGGAAAGAATTTGCTTTAGAAACACCTTCAAAGACAGGACCCCCGATTTGGATCGGAGCCAGCGACTCCACTTTATCGAGTTGATGAGCAGAAGCGTACAATACTATCATGACATTCTTGAGGACGAGGGTTTTAGAGCAAAAGCTGCGAGGGAATTCCCTTCTGAAAGTTCAGTAAGCTTCAGTCCATTTTTGTCCTCGGAGAGATATTCAATGTCTGCGGCAATTTGGGACAATGGAAGCTCACAACTTCTAGATCAAAGGTTCTCTCACTTTCATATGCGATATTCAGAAAAGCCCAAACTGCCCAGGTTTGACAAATCTTCAGCCGCGAGAAGCTCTTGGATCGTCCGAAGAAATTCAGGACCAAGCAATGCAGTGCATTCCACTCATTGCCAGCCCGACTTGGGACTTCAACCCCAACGGCTTTCAAGCATGCGCAACACAAGAAGTGGAAGCCGAGTTCACAAACTTGTACAGAGAATATTGCAGTAGGTACCGAGCTACTATACTACCAATAGACTTCCAACATTACCTCTTCTGCCTCGCCGGCCTGATGAAAGTCGAACTCATTTCGTTTGTCTTGGAGAGTCAAAATGATCCGAAGTATTTCGTCCCCAATGGCGTCACACCTCTGCTTCCTCTGAAAGTTCTCAACCCTCGACGAACAAGCCGTGGCTGGTCAGTCGACTGTTTTATTGCTCGATTCGAGAGATTTGAGAGGATATTTAAGGGCGGCTATGAGCGATGGCCGAATCCAGTTGCGTGGCTGGAAGCAGAGATAGATAGAGAAGAATGCCAAAATCAGACGATGAGACCTTGGAAATTGGTGGTAGAGGAAGGTGAGAAGGAACCCAAGGAACCGCCTGTCATTTGCTGGGAGACGCTGCAGCGTTTGAAGTGGTTTACTAGTGAAAACTATTCCCAGTATCCAAAGCCAATGTTCCCCCTGGTAAGAGCGCACTCTTACCTTTTAAGAATAGCTGTTGACGGTGGTCAACTAACTAATATCATTCTTCTAGAAGCCTCAACCTCTCAAACTCCACGATATTATCAGTCCAAACTCTATCAGCCCCAGAGAGCCAAAGAGAGCTAAAAAGGATAGGAAGGAAAGGGAGAAAGCTGCTAAAGAAACTATAACCACTGCTGGCCTCACAGGTAACGATACCTCATCTGGCTCTACGAATCAACCAGCAACCAGAAGAGCCTGGGATAAAAACCTCGATGATATCCATAGCGGTTATACTGGAGACGAGTCTGATTTGGCTTCCCCAATTTCCCGAAAGAGGAAGTACAACGATGATAGCCGTCCGCAGTTCACTCACTATATAGATTCTGATGGCGAGCAGTTTCCAACTTTGAAGCAGCTGCAGCACTTGCATCACATAAAGCAAGAAAAAGTAGTCCGCTGTGGTCCCGAGGAATATCTCTGCGGTGTGTCTGGTCGGGAAGACAAAAGGGAAAAGCAGTGGCAGAAGAAGCGGGCACGTTACCAATCATCCCCAGCACCAAAATTTAGAATGCCGCCCACCATGGACATGACGCCGGCTCCCCGACTTGTTGAGGACAAAGAGTACCAGTTGCCCATTCAACCTAGATCCAACGCTATTCCTTTCAAGACGCCATCTTCGGGGCCAGCTCAGAAATCAGGCAGCCGAGGAGCTCGCCGTCATCATATTTTTACTACTTCGTCACAAGAGGGTGACTCTGATATTGAGGTTATCCAGACTTGCGATCTTCCTCGCCCGACAACTCTGAAGCCTCAACACATATCACCTACGAAGTAAGTATCTGCTCTCAAACACCAAGTCACGTTGGGAGCCTTGTTCGCACTTGAGACTGCTCTACGATTCCGCTCAAAATCAACCGGAAGGCTCACGCTAATATTTCCAGGTCTTCTGCCTCCTCAAGCTCCCGCGGCAACCATTCAAGCACCAGCATGCAAGAGCGCCTTAACGCCTTCGAACACCAACACAAAATCCCCAATAAAGAGTTCAACGCAAGATACTACGACCGACTGCGATCCCCCTCTGCCTCCAGCCCCGAACCTCAGCAGAATATCCACCCGAATGTCATACCTGACTCGAAGTACAACAGCCACCTGCACCCAATGTCTGGTTCTAGCCTGGAACAAGACCAACTCTATCCTACGATCGAGTTCTCTCCTTCTCTTCACACCAATGATCATTCTCCAAGCAACAAGAGGTCTAGTCAAAGAATTATTGAGGTAGTTAATTTAGAGTCTCCGGAGCCCGAGGCTAGACAAGGTGGTGCTGAGCGCAGTGGAAGTTCTCCAGCCGAACATCGCTTCAACGTTAGCATTGCGTCCACCGAGACAGGTTTCTCTGGCACGTCTTTCAAATTGGATGGTCGGCCATAGCAGTGAGATATTGGCATTCGAATTGACGCTGCTCAGAATTCCTCAGCTCTCGATGTGCGCAGGAGCTCCCCAAGAAGAAACTCAGCACGCACAAAATCACCACGAAGGAACCCCATGTGAGGTTGAGTTAGCAGTGGACGTAAAGATCACTTGCGACAAGATGTCCTTCAATCAACCGAGCTCATCTCGAATATTCGAACATTCGTTATTTATTTCCTTTGTCATGGGAAATGGGGTTGTGAAATATCAAAGGATGAATAGGACAGCGATATGATGGTATTCAAGGGGGGCGTTGCAGGTAGTTGGGTAACGAAAGCAGATAGATTTGATTTTCAGCATTAATAATCGTGCAGCCACGTTCTCAATAATATGGACCCTTGGTATATTGGTGCGAATCAGTGATACGGTCTTTTTTCCCCCTAACAAAAAAAGCTAGAATTATTAAAAGCTTCACAACATAACAAAGGATCTTTAAAATAAAAAAAGAATATATAGATATACGCCCGATATTACGCAATTTTTGGATTCTTTCAAATTTTCAAATTTGTGAAATAGTGGAAGTTGTCATAAAAACGACCGTCTTGCTGATATGAACCAAACCCGCAGGGCACATAGGGGCTTTTGTGCAAGTCCTGACGCACGATTAGAAGATGCGCTCCTTCCTAAGAGCGTGACTTGAGAGTCGTGACTCCATCGTTGCTTGTCATGAAGACATGTACGGAGGAGTGGAAGAATGAAAGAGTAGTAATGTAACCCCTGAGTGGCGGAGACTTAAGCGAGGATGCTAGTGGTGAGAATAAGGGGGAGGACATTTCCGAAACGATGAATTTGTCTTCTAATCCTGAACCCTCACTCATATTTTATGATAAAAGTAGTTTGATAAAGTCGCAGGCCTTCATAAAGCCTAAAGCATATACATTGAAATGAAGATGATCCGACCTTTTTCGCTCTGCTCTTAAATCTCTCGCTCCTCCAAGGAAATTTCGTCAAGTGCAAGGATCAATCCAAGCATCTAGATTCATTATCTTCCAGACAGTAGAGAACCCCTTCGTAAAAGAGGTATTGAAAATCTTTGTTTTCACATCCAGTGTGATATTCGGTGCTCCGTCGGAGCCAGTTTATTTTGATGGATGAAGGGCATAAACTTGTCGCATTCGCCATAGTGGAGACATTGCTCGTTAACGTGCCATTCCACGACTGGCAGAACATCACCAAAAATACTGCCTGCGGTCTTCAAGCCAAAGAGTAATCCCCGATAATGTACCTCGTTGGCCATATAGTACATATAATTGATTGCGGCGGCTGGGGAAGGACCTAACTTGTTTGAATTGTCATAACAATCGACATTATTAGGATTGAGGCCATCGCAGCCTCTGTCTTGCGCCATTTTAATCTGAGATGTCACGATAGATCGGACATTGGGGGATTTGGTGTCAAGCCAAAACTCCCCTGGCCAACCCTGCAGCGGACTCCCTTTCTCAGATGCTTCGAATGAAGCTTTGTCGGGGCATCAGTCCTCGAAACTCCCCGCAGAGAAATAGCAGACGGTTTTCTTGACATTGCCCTTCACAGTCTTGATGGTGGCTGCAGGGGTATCATAGTGGTCCACGTCGAAAACGTTAGCAGGATGTATGAGATCAGACACAGTGCCGCCGAGTTCAATTTGCCATATCGTTCCAGCTGTTGGTTGCCACACGGTCTTTGCTCCCAAAGATGAAGCAACAGGCTCACCACTGGTAATGAAGAATCCTTTGCTCAGAAAGCAGAAGCAACAGGTTGAATGGCCGCTGAGGACGTTTTTGGCACCGGAACTACGGTCACCGTACTTAAGGTAGTTGGTTTCGGTGGTGCAGGAAGTTCGTTGGTTGGTGTTGGCGGAAGCACTGCAATCGGGCTTAGGGTTGTCGGTTTTGGTGCTACAGGGTGCTCTTTTGTGAGCATTAGAGGAACCTCCGGACCAGAATCGCAATCGCCTTAGCCTTCGCCTTCGTCAACGTTGGTATCGATGACGTCTTCGGCATCGTCTGTATCCCCGATACTATCTGTGTCCTCTGTGTCTGGATCCTCTTCTTTATCCCCATTCTCTTGATTTCCCTCATCGTCTTGATCCCGTCCAAAATTGTCCCCATCTTCGTCTGAAGAATTATCATCTTCCGTACTTGTGTTTAGTAAGCCGTGTTGAGAGTTCTCGTCCGGCGAGGTCGGAGGCAAAAATTTGTGCTCAGTCTTTTGGGTGCAGTAATGTGCCTCGGAAGGTGCTATAACCCATGCGGCCCATGTCTTCTGACGACAACTGAAGAAGATAGTTGAAGAAAAAGAACGTATGAGATAAGGACTGTTTTAAGAATGGAAAGCATAATGAACAACCGCAAGGCGGGAAAGGAATGGAGAGGCGTCCGAGACTTGGATTATTTGAACAGCATGAGAAAGACTTACACACGACCAAGTAACTCCATCTTTATATCCACAACTGTCAGCGATGCGTCGTACACCTGCCCTCAGACTCAGGAGAACCAACAAGGTCCAACTAATATATCGGTGGCTAAAGCTATGAGCATCAACGAGGCCGCGATGACGTTTTTCCTAAATATATTTTACTGCTGAGCTCAGCCTGGCGAGTGGCAAGGCCCAGGGGCCGTTCGTGGGCGTTGTTGTTTAGTGGCGGAGCTCCAATTGCGGGGGTAAGACGCTTGTGCTCCCTGAACCACATATGGGAGGTCAGGCTGTGAGATTCAGCCTGATCAGCAACTCAGGGACACAGCTAAATAGGGAGCTTCCAGAGACAAGGCTCTTGCTTCCAAACCGACCGGCGTTCTGCTTTGCTGCCTTCGCATTGCCAACAGTCGGGCCAGGACGCCAGGAGAGAAGAGATGAAGGGCGGCAGCGGCGTAGCACGTGGAGCATTCGAGATTCGCTCGGGTCCCCCTTTGCGAGCCGATCAATCTATCCCAAGTACCTGGAGTGCGAGTACTATTATCGATATGCAGGTAGATAGTCGGTGTTAATAACAACAGGACGGTGAGCTTTTGAGATGTTTCAGACGTGCTGCCGGTAGAACCCCCCAAAACAAGGAATGGGCCGAGTCACGTGCTGTACTAGGGCAGGATTTTAGGCGGTAAAGGGCCAAACTGCAAAACTGCGGAACGTCAAACCACGAAAACCACGAAAACCACGAAATTGCAAAACCACCTCGATTTGCGTACGTAGCCCTACCAAAATTAAGGTCCTTCGTAAAATTTTCTGTTTAGCTGCTTCTTTGAACTGCCATATAATTAGCTATAATATCCTTTATTCCTTACTATTCCCATTATTACCTAAGTCAGAAGAGATATTATCTTCTAATATACTATCTTCGTCCTCCTCCTCCTTCTTCTCTACTGCCTTCTCCTTTCCCTTTCCCTTTATTAATCTTACCGCCTTTTTGCTTGCTCTTATAGGGGTCTTTGCCTTCGGGAGAGAGGGGTTTGAGGAGGCGGATTACGGTAGTAGGGGATTATTAGGTACCGTATTTTTTTAATAAAGAATATATTTAGAGCCTCTAGTATTATATTAATAGTTATAATAAGCTCTATTAAAGAAATTAGGTATAATAATACATTTAGTAAAAGGGCCTTTCAGATTCTTTTTAGTATAATTAATATAGGACATTAGTACTAAGTTCTTTTTTTCTTACCCTAGTATAGCTTCCAGATTATCTCACCCCTTATCTAAGCTCTTTAAAATCTTTCCAGGGTAATATTTAAGGGCTCTCTATATTAGTAAATCAAAGATATTTCATATTACTTATATAGTATTTATAGGGAAAGTTTAAAGCTCGGGGTAACTTGGAGTAGGTAAAGGAAGTAGGGATAGTAAAGGAGGTAGTAGGGAAAGTACTAGAGCCTATAAATAGTATTATATTAATACCTAATCTTAAATTAAAGAACTTTGGCCTATAAAGATAAATACAGAGCATATACTTATACTAGAAGCTCGAGAAGTATATTATAATACTATATCTAGTCATACCTATATACCTATATATATATTATTAATATTATTAATATTATAGATATTATAATATAGCAGAGGCTAATTTAATATCTTTAAAAGGGTTTAGAGCTTTAATTAAGAGCTTAGTAGTTATATTATAGTTATAATTATAATTAGAGTTAATAAGAGTTTAAGAGATTTATAAACTTAGCCTTATATAGCCTCGTTTATTATGGCTCTACTCTAGTACTTTATTTTGCTAGCTAAATAAATCTAATACTTAATAATATATAATTATTCGTATTAATAAACTAATTCGCAATAATTTAGGTATATCTTTATATAAAAGAATTATGATTTTTTATTAGAACATTACTATTTTATTAAGTAAAGAAGTTAGAGGCTTTAAGAGCTACTATATATAGCCTTATAGGTCGCCTTACCCCGCTATCTGCAAGGTCGCAAACTCCTTAATACTTCTTACTATAATAACTTTAATAATATTAATTAGTTTCTAGTATTTTTAAAAATCTAAATAGCTTTAATATCTAGCTCTTTAAATCTAAAAGAATAATAAGATTTAATTAATAGAAGTTATTATAATTAACTCGTAATATCTAGTTATAATTATATATATATAGCTAGCCGGAAATAAGTAATTATACTCTAAATAACTTCATTTTTGGGAATCTTATAACTAGAGGAAATACCCGGTATAGTTATATAATAGTATATAATAATTATAATAATACTACTCGTAATAAATTATATAATTATACCGGGTGTTTCCTCTAGTTACGAGACCTCCCTAATAATAGTAATTAAGTATTTAAGTATAGAGATTTAGTATATATACTACCCTGAATTATAGTATCTTATAGGATACTACAGGGCATTAAGTACTATTCTAGAAGACATATTACTAAGCTATAGGGTATATTAGCTTATAAGGCAGGGTTAGGTTTTATTATATAATTATATTTAAGCCGCAATTTCCTGGCCATACTATAATACTAAAAATTAAGATAAATTCATAAAACTTTAAGATATTAAAAGGCTAGAAGTGTCTTTATTAAGAAATAAAAGTCTTACAAGTATTTAATAATAGAAAGTATAGAAATCTTAAAGTATTATTAGAGCAATTATATAACTATTTAGCTAGCCAAAACTATAATAGATTCCAGACCCTCTTATTATAAAATACTTAAAAACGAGATTATATTCTTTTACTACCTAAGTAATATTAAATTATTTACTTTAGTAATTCTACTAGTCTCCTATTCTTTACTTATATACTATCTAGTATACCTCTATTATTATTATTATTATTATTATTATCTTTATCTCTCTTATTAATATTATACTCGCTTATAAGTTTATTATCTAGTATATCTTTAAGGTATTAATTTAATTATATTACCTCTTACTATTTATACTTAGCTACCTGCTATATAATTACCTAATATATACTACTATATAAAGGTTCCATATTAATATCCTAGAGTAGTAATTTAGTTAATTATTCGAACTCTCAAAGTACTATTTATAGGAAGTTATAAGCTTGGATATAAGATTAATCTAGCTTGCCTATAAACTCTTCTAGTAAGTATTTAATATTACCTAGGGAAAGTAAAGTCTTATAGAGCTTAGTAATTGCCTCTAACTAATATTTCTTCTTATTATATACCATAAGATACTTCTTTATTTTAGATAACCTAGCCTCTATAGCCCTATCTGGAGTTATCTTATAATTAGGTATATTATTATAGAAAAAGTAAAGATCCTCGGGATATCTAGGGGAAATAATATAATCTCTCTACTTTTATTTCCAAATAATATAGATATTATAAAGGTTAATAAAGTTCTTTACCTACTCTCGAAGTATATCTATATAAATGAACTATAGAGTAATTATATTATAGACTAATTCTTTATTAAACAAGTTTGCCTTATTAAGCTTAATAAAGAACTACTTCTAGCCCTTAGTAAGACTATTTATAAGTATATTCTACTAAGTTTTAATTCTTTAATTCTTTATAAAAGAACTATATATATAGGCTTTTAAAAAGGAGATAAGGGAATTTATAAAGTAATAAAGGGCTAGCTAAGTAATATATATAAGTATTATCTTTACTTCTTTATTAGACCTTACTACTTATAGGATGCCATACTATTAGATAGTCTAGAGATAGAACTTCTAGATAGCTACTTAAGTATAATTTAAGAGCCTAACCTAATAGCCTAAGATATATTAAGAATATCTATTAATAATACCATATATTTAGAAGCTATATTCAGAGAGCTTATTATGTTTATTAACTAACCAGACTTAATTAGGGCCTCTTACTAACTATCTCTTCTGCTATTAATACTCTTTAGGCTTGCAATTTATAATACCTTTATTATTAAGGACCTTTAAAATTTATTAAATATCTTGGTTAGAGACAAATATTAGAAGATTTATATAAATTCAAGTATATATATTTCCTCTACTATACCGAGTAGTCTGTTTACTATAAAGATAGTTTAGAATAAAATCTCTTACTCTTAAGATATTATTCATATATTTCCCCGGTTAATAGTAATATTATATAATACTATAGTACTTATAGAGCTATTAAAGAGCCCCTATAATTAGGTTAGTAAAATTAAAGTTCTTCTAGAGACATATTAGTATTTTCTTTAGGATATAATTATAATACTAAAAAAGCTAAATTAGGGATAGTAAGAGCTCGTTTAGATACTAATTAAATTACCTTAACTTCTAAAACTCAGGATCTTCCGTATTTCACTAAGTAAACTGCCTTTTATAGGATCTCTCACTTGGTTTAAAGCCAGCTTCCTTAGCTATAATAGCCCTTACTTTATTTAAAGAATACCACAACTCGTAATAAAGCTACTTAATTCGAGCCCTATAAGTTTCTTATAGAAAAGTATTAATTACTATAGTTAAAACCGGCCGGAAGCATTATTTTTAGTAGTATCTTAATAAGACTACCAGATATAAGAGAAAAAGAGATAAATATAATAAAGGATTTTTGGAAAAGTACTAGCTATAGGGCTTACTTGCATCCGACCTAAATGCATTCTTTATTCTAACCAGAATTTAATACTAAATTATTACTATAACTTAGTAATATAAATATAGAAGCTATAATAAACTATTATCTCATAATTACCGAGCTTCGTTTAAAATTCTATTATAATTTATAATTATAATTCAAATATATATAAGGTAGGGCAAAGCTTACTAAAATTATTATTAATATTATATATTTCTTTTTCTCTTTACTAAGTTCTAACTATAAGTAGGCCCGCTTTCTTTTTTTTACGGATTTATTTTAGAAAGATCTAATATTAATTTGAAATTTAAAAGAAAAATTATAAGAATCAGATATAATTTAAATATAATATTAATTTCTAAAAGAGTCTTTTTATATAAGTAATAATAAGGAACTAGTATATAGTTATTACTAAAATTATTATAATAAACTTTACTAAATTCTTCCTTTAATTTATTATCTACTATTACTAAAATAACCAAAATAATATAACTAAAGAAAATATTATTAAAATTTAATATTAAATTAATCTAACTATATTAAATTATTAATTCTTAATTTTAAGGAGGGCTTCTTAGTACGGGACAACTTTCTAATTACTAGATCTCCTATTATGGTACTTTTTATTACTTTGCCTCTCTCTCTTTCCTTAGATATTATAACCTCTTTAGCTTCTTTTTTAGCCTTCCCGGCATCTTTACTACTATCTTTAGTATCTGCCAATATACTAGTATTCCCTTCTAGTAATAGAAATTTTTTTTTTTCTAGTAATAAAGATATACTTCCTTCTAGTAATAGAGATATACTTTTTTTTAGTAATAGAGATAGAGACTCTTTATAAGAGGATTAAGGAACAGGCTAGGTTAATAGGAGTAAGAGGGGACCATACTCTTTATTAAGGTACTTGGCTTT